AGGGAGAGGGGAGGTGGAGGGAGGAGTGGGAAGAGTGGAGGGAGAGAAGCTACAGTTGGGATGAAACAAACATAGATAGATAGATAGATAGATAGATAGATAGTGAGATAGTGAGATAGTGAGATGGTGACAATGTAATAGAACAAAGGAGCCATGTTCCAGCTCCAGCAAGCAGCAGAGCTTGTTTTTCGTCAGCTTTGGCCATGTGGCTCTGGCTTTAGAATCAAGAATAGAAGAGACTACTAGGACAAGCAATCCTGATCAGCTGGAGCTAAGAAATTAGAGTCGATTAAAAGGAGACCAGCGTCAACCCTTGAGGTGAAATCTTTTGAGAAGTGTTTTCTGAGAATACAAAGAAGCTGTGTTCCAGAGACAGCCAAGAACATACATACCTCATGCTTCAGCTGGACTTGGTAACATGTCATCCAGGTAGTACTAGTTCTGACAACATGAAGAGGTCATGGATAGCAGTTGAGACCTGACACTGTGAGTGCCCAGGGAAAGCCATTGGTGAAGGCACAAACTCAGTTGCAGTTGACTGCCCAGGACTGAAGGAGTCATGCAAAGAAGCTGAAGCTTGGCACCATGAAGGGAGCTTATGGGCGGTTATTGGTGGAGCCTAGTTACAGTGAAAGACTCCAGCAACTTGGAGATACCAGTACCATGGGATGGTCACCAAGAACAGCAGCAGCAGTAGGGTGGAGTCAACCAGAGCCTGGAGTGCTACAGAGAGCAGAACTAGAGATAGAACCCGAGCCCTTCTTAACTTATATAACTCTTCAGCTTTCTTTCTTACTCGGTTTGACCCTCTCCTCTGTGACTTCCAATTCTGTCCAGTACTCTAACTGGCTCATGGTTATTCTCACATGTGCAAACGAGTCCAGAATCAAGTAACCCCCAAAAAATAATGGATGTCCTTTCTTTCAAGGGTAGAATTGTCTAATAAAGAAGCTGACGTGCTTATTTAGCGAGATTTAAATGCCACACTCTATGAAGTCAAAAGGAAGGGTGACAGTCCCAAGAGCAAAAAAACAGAGAAGAGAGAGCATGGGGAGTGGTCCTTGAAGGATGAATATGACTTTAACCTTGGACCATATGGAGAAATATCACAAACCTATGATATCTGTTACTCTCCTCATCGCTGTGACCACATACCTGACAAGAAGCAACCTGAAGGAAGAGAAGTTTGTTCTGGCTCATAGTTTAGGACAGAGGGTAGCAGGAGCTCCTAGGGCAGATGGCTCCATAGCCTTGGCAGTCAGATGATGTAAGCTGTGACCCCAGGTCTACTCTCAATGACTGTGCCTCAATTCTTTAAAGTTCCACATCTTGGGTCTATTTTCAATTTTAAGCTCAGGCTAGGGTGATTGTTCAGATTGTAAAGGGCTTGCCCTGCAAGCATGAGATCTAGACTTTGATACTCTAGAAATCACATTTGGAAGAAAGGAAGGAAAGAAGGAAGGGAGTGAGGAAGGGAGGGAGGAAGGGAGGGAAGGAGGGAGGGAAGAAGGGAGGGAAGGGAGGAAAGGGAGGAGAAGGAGGAGAAGGAGGAGGAGGAGGAGGAGTCGTCAGCAACAAGGTCTGTAGAAATTGTTCAGTAGTTAAGAGTACATACTGTTCGTGCAAAAGCCTAGAGTTTGGTTCTGAGCATCCACATCAGGTAGCTTAAAACACCAGTAACTCCAGCTACAGGGAAATATGATGTATTCTTCTGGCTTCCATGGGTACCAGCACACAGACATGCACATGCACAGTACAATAAATAATAAATTGTTTTTTTAAAAAAGCTGGCTATAAGGCACATCTGTGATTCTAGTACTAAGGAAAACTTGAGGGCTCTCTCGCAGCCAGCACAGCCTACTTGGCAAGTTTCAGACCAATAAAAGACCTTATTTCAAAAATACAAGGTAGTCAACAACAAGGAGTGATAGCCAAGGTTGACCTCTGGTCTCTACACTGCATCTACACACATATGTGTACCTACACCCACACAAAAAGCACATACACAAAGTTTGTACAACTCAATAACAGAACTGTGAGCTGGGGACTCAGTGATCAAATGCAGGGGGTGGGGGACATTCCATAGTCAATAGCTCATCCACACAGACTGGTGTATCAAAAGTATCAAATACTGACATCATCTTTAAGTATTTATAATATGAATATGAAGCTGTTTACTTTTCAAACTTTCCTGTCTTCTCCACATAAGGATCAGGCATGTCCAGCCACTGAGATGCTGCAACCAAAATCTAGGACACTTCCTTGATTCCTTGGCTCCTCAGGCCTATGCAAACCCCTAGACACTCACCACATCTATAATGCAATTCTTTCTCAAGACTTACCACCAGCTGAACTAGGACCATGTTTTTCTATAGAATCCCTCTCCCTCTGCTGCCTACTTCCTTCTACTTTCAACTTGTTCTAGGCTGTCTTCTCCTCCTTAAAGGCAGCCTAAGTGAGCTTTGTAACTGTGAATCAGTTCCTATGGGAAGGAAATATCCAATGGCTTCCAGATAGGCTGAGAATAGAACCCAAATTCTAAACTGTGCATGGACTAGCCTTCTCTCTCCTGCTTGCTCACTTGCTCACTTTGCCTTAGTCCTAGCAGCCACTTTCTTTCCACTGACTCACCAAGCTCTTTCTCTCTTGAAAGCCTTCATGGGCTTTGTCTTCTCTGCTGCTACGGCAAATATCATGATCAAAGCAACCTTGGGAGGAAAGGTTTTATTCCAGGTAACAGTCTTTCACCAAAGGAAGTCAAGGCAGGAACCTGGAGGCAGGAACTAAAGGAGACCATGGAGAATCACTGCTTACTGGCTTGCTTTCCACAGCTTACTCTGCCTGCTTTCTTTAACAACCTGGGACTACCTCCTTATAGTGGGTTGGACTTTCCCACATCAATCACCAATCAAGAAAATGCCTTTACAGAGAAATCCACAGGACAAGCAATTCTTCGATTGAGATTTCCCCTTCCCGGGTGTCTTAGGGTTTCTATTGCTTTGAAGAGACACTGTGACCACAGCAGCTCTTAGAGAGGGAAACAGTTAATTGAGGCTGGCTTAGCAGTTTCAGAGGTTTACTCCATTATCACCATTTCGGCATACAGGTAGACATGGTGATGAGAAGGGGCTGAGAGTTTTACATCCTCATCTGTAGGCAGTAAAATGTGTCTGTGTTTCACACTGGACATAGCTTGAGGGTATGAGGCCTCAAAGCCCACCCCCACAGTGACACACTTCCTCCAGCAAGGCCACACCTACAGCAACTAGGCCACATCTCCCAATAGTTCCACTCCCTGTGGGCCTACGGGAGCCAATTACATTCTAACTACCTCACCAGGTGACTCCATTCTGTGTCGAGCTGGCAAAAGCTACCCAGCACAAGGTAGCTCCATTACTCTTCCCTGGAAAGCAGATCTATGCCTTACCCTTTCATATCACTGAAACTGACATATTTTCTCTAACGTTATCTCCGTGAAATGACACCTTACAGAGCTTCCTCCTCTCTTTCCCTATTGGCTCCCTGCTTCATTTTCTTCTCATTTCCTGTCACTACCTGAATTATATATTACATTCTTTTTTTTTATTGGATATTTTATTTACATTTCATATGTTATCCCCTTACCCCATCCCCCACCCACCCGGGAACCCCCCATCCCCTTACCCCTCCTCCTTCTTCTCCGTGGATGTAACTCCCTCCTACCCTCCCCACTCCCACTTCCCCACCCTCAAAATTCCCACCCCCTGGGGCATCCAGCCTTCATGAAGTCAAGGATCTCATCTTCCACCTGTGCCCGGCAGGGCCCTCCACTCTTACATATTCAGCTGAAGCCCTGGATCCCTCCATAAGTGCTCCCAGGCTGGTGGTTAGGACCCTGGGAGCTGTGGTTGGTTGGTTTTGTTGCTCTCCTCATGGTGCCACAAACCCTTTCAGCTCCTTCAGTCCTCACTCTAACTCCTCCATTGAGAACCTCATGATCAGTTCAATGGCTAGTTGTGAGCATCTGCCTCTGAATATGTCAGACTCTTGAAGGCCTCTGAGGAGACATCCATATCAGCCCCTTATCAGCATGCACTTCCTGTCTTCCACATCAGCATCTACCTTTGGTGACTGCACATGGGATGGATACTCAGGTGGAAAGGTCTTCAAATGGCCCCTCCTTCAGTTTCTGTCCCTCACTTTGTCTCCATATTTGCTCCCTTGAGTATTTTGTTGCTCCTTCTAAGAAGGACCGAATCACCCCCACTTGGTCTTCCTTTTTTATGAGCTTCATGTGGCCTGTGAGTTGCATCTTGGGCATTTCAAGGTTCTGGGCTAATAACCAATAATCAGTGAGTGAATACCATGTGTCTTCTTTTGTGATTGGCTTACTTCACTCAGGATGATAATTTCTAGTTCCATCCATTTACCTAGGAACCTCTCGAATTCATTGTTTTTAATAGCTGAGTAATACTCCATTGTGTAAATATACCACATTTTTTGAATCCATTCCTCAGTTGAAGGACATCTGGGTTCTTTCCAGCTCCTGGCTATTATAAATAAGGCTGCTATGAACATAGTTGAGCATATGTCCTTGTTATATGTTCGAGCATCTTCTGGGTATATGCCTAGGAGTGGTATAGCTGGATCCTCAGGTAATGCTATGTCCAATTTTCTGAGGAACCGCCAGATTGATTTCCAAAGTGGTTGCACCATCTTGCAGTCCCACCAACAATGGAGGAGTGTTCCTCTTTCTCCACACCCTCGCCAGCATCTACTATCACCTGAGTTCTTAATCTTAGCCATTCTGACTGGTGTGAGATGGAATCTCAGAGTTGTTTTGATTTGCATTTCCCTGATGACTAAGGACACTGAACATTTCTTTAGGTGCTTCTCGGCCATTCGAGTTTCTTCCATTGAAAATTCTTTGTTAAGCTCTATACCCCATTTTTTAATAGGGTAATTTGGGTGCCTGGAGTCTAATTTCTTGAGTTCTTTGTATATATTGGATATTAGCCCTCTATCAGATGTAGGATTGGTAAAGATCTTTTCCCAATTTGTTGGTTGTCGTTTTGTCCTATTGACAGTGTCACTCACTTGCTGTGCTGGCTAGCTGTAGATCAACTTGATCCTGGCTAGAGTCATGGAACAATTGAGAAAATGCTTCCATGAGTTGGGGCTGTAGAGCATCTTCTTAGTGATTGATGTGGGAAGAGTACAACCTATTGTGGGCGGGGTCATGACTGGACTGGTGGTTCTGGGCTCTATAAAAAAAAAAAGCATAGTAAGCAACCTAGAAAGCAGCACCCCTTCATGGCCTGTGCATCAGTTCCTGCCTCCAGGTTCCTGCCCTGTTTGAGTTCCTGTCTTGACTTCCTTTGATGATGAACTGTGATGTAGAAGTCTAAGCCGAATGAACCTTTTCTTCCTGTCTTAGCTTGGGTTCTATTGCTGTGAAGAGACACCATGACCAAGGCAACTCTTTTTTTTTTTTTTTTTCATTTAAAACCCATCAGTGAAGTGGACGGCTTGAAGTGACAAATCATTCATATTTAAAGCTTAAGTCAGTAACTCTATGAAAGCACACATTGCCACATACAAATGAACTGATCAGACCACAACTTTCTGTGTTGAAACAGAATAAACATCCCTGTGAAAGCAGCACCTTGTGGCATTTAATTTAGTATTCCTCTCTTTCTTCCTCACCCTCGCCTTCAACAGAATCCACACTAACCTCCTCATAATCCTTCTCTAGGGCAGCCATGTCTTCACGGTCCTCAGAGAACTCCCCCTCCTCCATGCCCTTACACACATACCAGTGCACAAAGGCATGATTGGCATACATCAGATCAAACGTGTGATCTAGGTGGGCCCAGGCCTCAGCAATGGCTGTAGTGTACAGCACACACAAAGCTCTCTGGACCTTGACCAGGTCACCACCAGGTACTACAGTGGGAGGCTGGTAATTAAGGCCAACCTTGAAGCCAGTGGGGCCTCAGTCCACAAACTGGATGGTACACTTAGTCTTGATAGTGGCAATGTCAGCATTGACATCTTTGGGAACCACATCACCACAATACAGCAGGCAGCAAGCCATGTATCTACCATGGCGAGGATCACCATGTCACCATCTGGTTGGCTGACTCAAAGCAGGCATTGGTTATCTCTGCTATAGAAAGCTGCTCATGGTAGGCATTCTCAGCAGAGATGACAGGGCCATAAGTGGCCAGAAGGAAGTGGATAAGAGGATCGGGTACCAGGTTGGTCTGGAATTCTGTCAGATCAACATTCAGGGCCCTATCAAATCTGAGGGAAGCAGTGATGAAAGACACAATTTGACGTATTAACCTGTTTAGGTTAGTGTAGGTTGGGCTCTCAATGTCAAGGTTTCTACAACAGATGTCATAGATGGCCTCATTGTCTACCATGAAGGCACAATCAGTGTGCTCCAGGGTGGTGTGGGTGGTGAGGATGGAATTGTAGGGTTCAACCACAGCAGTGGAAATCTGGGGGGCTGGGTAAATGGAGAACTCCAGTTTGGACTTCTTTCCGTAATCAACAGAGAGCAGCTCCATCAGCAGGGAGATGAACCCAGAGCCAGTTCCCCTGCCAAAGCTGTGGAAAACCAAGAAACCCTGGAGACCTGTGCACTGGTCAGCCAGCTCCCGAATTCTGTCCAAGACAATATCAACGATCTCCTTGCCAATGGTATGGTAGTCATGGGTATAGTTATTGGCAGCATCTTCCTTGCCTGTGATGGGTAGAAAGAGTTGTCGGTAGGTGCCAGTGAGAAATTCATCAATGGCTGTGAGTTGCAGGTCCACGAACACTGCCCAGGACACAAGCTTGCCAGCTCCTGTCTCACTGAAGAAGGTGTTGAAGGAGTCATCTCCCCCCCCAACCCCACCATGGTCTTATCACTTGGCATGTGGCCATCAGGCAGGACTCCACATTCCAGGCAGTAGAGCTTCCAGCAGGCACTGCCAGTCTGGGCACCACCCTGGCCAACGTGGATGGAGATGCACTCACACATGGCTGCTGCTTCGCGGCTGCCAAGCGGATGGCAGAGGCACAGAGGTGTTGCTTCTTACAGTGCGACTCTTAGGCGGTCAATGTAAGAGAACCTGCTCCAAGGCAGCTCTTAGAAAGGCAAACTTATGCTGCTGACTTACTTTCCTAGTTCATTCCATTATCATCATGGTGGGAAGCGTGGCATCATGCAGGCAGGCAGACTTGGTGCTGGAGGAGCGCCATCTTGATCCAGGGTTAGCCAGGAGGAGACTCTGCTCCAGGCAGCCAGGAGCAGAGTCTCTTCCTCAATGGGCGGAGTTTATGCTCTAAGAGCCCTCAAAGCCCACCCACACAGTGATACATTTCCTCCAACAAGGCCACGCCTATTCTAACATGGCTGCACCTCTTAATAATGCCACTTTTCATTGGCCAAGAATATTCAAACCACCATGCTCCCCAAGTTGCTTTCGTTCATGCTGTTTCATCACAGCAATGGTAGCACTTACCAAGGACACTCACTTTTTCTTTGTTTTCGTCCTTCCTACTGCTGTTGAAACAAATTACTACAAACACGGTGGCTTGAACTGATTTATGGTTTATAGTTCTGGAGGCTGGAGACTCATTTCCTTGCAATTCACTTCCATCATGATGGAAAGGATTCTGTGTGCTTTGAATATCCTCCTCCTTCCATCTTCAGAGTCAGCAATTGCGGATCACATAGCCCCACTTGGACGCTCTTCTGCTTTCCTTCCATCATTTAAGGATATGATGACATCGGACCTACCCCATGGATAACCTAGGGCTTTATCTCTATTTTAAAGCCGGGGGACTTGTGAACATATTTCCATCTGCAACCTTAATTCCTCCTTGCTTTGTAATTTAACATAGTCTCAGGTTTCAGGGGTTAGAATATGGACATTGGATATAGTGGTTTGAATGAGAGTGGTCCCTATAAGCCCATAAAGAATGGCACTATTAGGAGGTGTGGCCTTGTTGGAAGAAGTGTGTCTCAGTTCTCTTCTTGCTCCCTGTGGATCAAGATGTAAAACTCTCAGCTCCATCCCCAGTACCTTGTCTGTCTTCATGCCAGCATGCTTCTTGCCATAATGATAATGGACTAAACCTCTAAACCGTAAGCCAGCCCCAGTGAAATGGTTTTTTATTATAAGAGTTGCCTTAATCATGGTGTCTGTTCACAGCAATAAAAACCCTAAGTAAGACAAAAAATTGGGGTATTGCTGTGATAGGCCTGACCATGCTTTTGTTTGAAGGAATGTCAAACATAGAAGACAAAAATTGGGGTATTGCTGTGATAGGCCTGACCATGCTTTTGTTTGAAGGAATGTCAAACATAGAAGACAATGGTACTAGGGGTAATTTGAACCATGGGGGCCTGGCTTAAGAGGTTTCAGAGACGCAGTGGTGGTACACGCCTTTAATCCCAGCACTTGGGAGGCAGAGGCAGATGGATTTCTGAGTTCGAGACCAGCCTAGTCTACAGAGTGAGTTCCAGGACAGCCAGGACGACACAGAGAAACCCTATCTCGAAAAAACAAAACAAAACAAAACAAAAAAAAAGAGGTTTCAGAGAAGAATGTCAGTATGCGGTCTAGAAACTACTCTTCTGATATTTTGACCAAGAATGCGGCTGTTTGCCCTCGCCTAAAAAGTTTACCTAAAGGTAAACTAAAGAGTTTTGGATTAATTCCATTGGCAAAAGAAATCTCAAAATAGCCTAAAATTGATTCTATCCTGTATTTGTGTTCATTCTTATGAAGATCTATAATAAAAAGGAGCAAGCTGAACAAGGAAAAACACACAAAATGTACAATTTGAGGAGAAAAGAAGTTCCAGGAAGTGGAATGGAGCTAAATCTTCTGTTCAAGGAGATAAACAGATCAAAGAAAAGTCTGATGTTAAATTGAAGTGAGAGAGTGGTGATCTCAGGGCAAGACCATACCCAGCTAAGCTTCCACCTTGTGAAAAGGAATTAAAGAACAGATTAGGTCCAGATGTGGTGCTACACACCTTTAATCACTGCACTCAGAAAACAGAGGCTGGTAGATCTCTAAGTTCAAGACCAGTCTGGTCTACAGAGTGAGTTCCAAGACAGCCAAACTTATGCAGTGAAAGAAACCATTGAAAGCAGATAGCTAGTAAAGATGTAATTGAATAAGGAACCATGTTCCAGCCTCAGCAAGCCACAGAACTTGGCAGCTTCGGCCGCATGGTTCTTCTGGCTTTAGAGTCAAGAATAGAAGAAAGGGGTTACAGAATCTCCCTCAGTAACTAAGGAAAGCCATTGAGGCCAAGTATGGCCAAGTGTGTGTCAGGGGTGTTCCTGCATGGAGGTCCAGAGATGTCTCTGTGGGAAGCTATGAAGATAAAGCCTGGATTGCCTTGGAGACCCCAAGATGTTGGAAATATCAGAGTCATGGGATATCTGCCAAGGAAAGCTGCCAACAGGGTTTATGAGAAAAAGAAGTATGTTGCAGTCAGCAAAGCTGAAAGATTCTGGAGATCTGAAGAGCATTTTTGACATCAGACATGGAGAAGCAGAGTTTGGAGTTTGCTCAGCTGGGTTTTGGTCTTGCTTTGCTCCCATATTTCCTCACTCTGCTCCCCTTCCTTCCTTCTGGAATGGTCATGTATATTCTGTGATACTGTATGTTGGAAATATGTAATCTGCTCTTTGATTCTGATTTTATAGGGGGTTACAGTTAAGAGATTGCATGAGTCTCAGAAGAGATTTTGAACTTTGGACTTTTAAATAGTGCTGATATTGTTATATACTATGGGGACTTTTGAAGTCAGACTAAACGCGTTTTGCATTATTATATGGCTACAAGCATATGGGGGGCAGTAAGTGAAATGTGGTGGTTTGAATACAAATGGGCACCATAGGTCTATAAGAAGTGGCACTATTAGGAGGTGTGGTCTTATTGAAGAAGGTGTGGCTTTGTGGGAGGAAGAGTCTCAGTTCTCTTCCGGCTGCCTACAGATCAAGTTGTAGAACCCTCACCTCCGTCTCCCATACCATGTCTGTCTGGATGCCGTGCTTCCTGCCATGGTGATAACAGATTAAACCTCTGAACTACAAGCCAGCCCCAATTAAATGGTTTCCTTTCTAAGAGTTGCCATTTTCATGGTGTCTCTTCACAGCAATAACATTGGGAATGGGCAATTTTTAACTACAACACACACACACACACACACACACACACACACACACACACGTAGAAGCTTCATGAGA